ACCCCACAGCGAGGGTGGGGAATAAGGGAATAGAATCCCTACGTGATCCCCAAATAAAAGATTCCCTTTTTTCCTACTAACCCCCAGCAAGTTTGCCTCCTGAGATGCTTTCAACAGGGTTGTGCCCTGAACTACGGCCCGGTATCAGGCACCTCCGCTTCCCTTATCGTATCACAGATGAACTCTGAAGATGTCAGGGTCTTGGATCAAATCTGGCGGTAAGGGGAGATGGAGCCGTTTTAAGCCTCCGTATTTCAGTGAGGCACCTCCTTTTGGGCATTCAAGCCGAAGCTTCGCAGTGGGAAGAAGCAAGGACGAACTTGCACGAAGCGTGTCTGAATAGTGCTGCACAAGTCTTGCAAAGTCAACAGCCCTTGGACCTATCTGACCTATCACAACCCCAAAACTAAGAACTCAACTCCAAGCAAGTGTCCTGTTTTTCCTCCTCCTCCTCTGCTTCTTCGTGCTCCTCCACACGCTCCGCTTGGTCAGCCCGGCGCTGTTCTTCTCCTCCTCCATCCTTTCGTTCGCACTTTATCTCTGTATAAGGTGGGAATGTGAGGATTCATGGGCTGTCATTGAGGACCCTTTAGGCTGTGCGATCTCCGTTTCACAAGCTGCTTCTGGTTAGTTGGCAAAGCAAAACGCTCTCAATAAGCCTTCTACACCCTCAAAATCCAAAACCTAAGCCTTCCACCCCCAAACTCAGTCCCAACCGAAGGAGTCTCAGTGAAGGCGCTTGTTGCAACCGCGAGGCAAGTTACCTCTGTGTACCTCTTCTGAAACACAACCCGCACTACCCCTACAACCCCCATACCCGCAACTCATACTAGTCCTGTAAAATCCCGATGTAATCTCGTCTCTTATCGTTTTATTGAATTCACTGTCGCTACATTGCAAAGAGCCCTGTATTGACCCTTCTGCTCACTTTGTTGAAGCCTTTCCACAGACAGGCCACCCCCACCCACACTCGAAAGCCAATAACGCCTTCGTTGCATGAACCATATGACAATAGAATGGGACCTTGCCCCCGGACATATCCCTTCAGCCACCTCCTTCTCCTTTGCATGCTCCTTGTCTTTCTCAGCGGCCTTGATCTAATGATAATGGTTCTTGAAGAAGGTTAGGGTTTAGGGTCGCTTTAGGGAAGCAGGCGATGGGGAGGAGGATGAAGAAGAGCGATGCCTCTGCCAACAAAAGTACTGTTGGCATAGCCAAAAAGGCAAATGTACCAATGATCAATGCGAGAAAACAAAACTGAAGCCGACGGCGCAGATTCTGACAGGACTGCTGAATGAGGATCTTGTTGAAGTACTACTTGAAGAAGGCATTGGAAGATAAATAGAGAAAACTACACTGCATCAGTTGCACGAACAAGGCAAGGAGACGGTGAGGTAAAAAAAACGCGCCGGATCGGGGGCCGCTCCGAGTGCACAACAGAATGGTTAGAATTCAAGCCGCGCAATTAAGAAACAGATTCGTGAATTCAGCAGCCCAAAATGGTGGACATCAGCTCTTTTTCCTGTTTTATTCTTCAAGCTCTGGTGATGATCCCCTTGCAGCAGCAAACAATTTTTCTGCTGCATCTTTGTCAGAATCAGGGTGCGCCAAGCAGGCTTCAATGTTCCATTTCTATTTGGTGCTCTCCGCAAAAAAGGAGGTCCCTTTTTGAAGGCGGGGCCCCCATGAGGGTCGACATCGGGGTCCCCTTGACTACGGAAAATTACCATTTGGGGCCCTCAGGTCCTCAAGGGAGTCCTGACCATGGTATGTCAACAGCTCTCTTGGACAGCTGAAAATGGGCTTATAGCATAATTGTAGCTTATATCTCCTTTTCCATTATCCCTGTATGACGCCTATATCCAGTATTGGGGTAGTATCCTCAAACCATATACTCTATAGACACCAAGGAACCTTCTGGTGAGTGTGCGTGCCTCAGGCTGCTGGTCAGTATGAGTCATCCAAATTGATAGGGTTTCGAGTTCAGGGTTTAGGAAAATACGCTACATGAGCTGTAGTCTAAACTCCTAGTATCCCCCTTAATAAGCCCTATAGTAGTCCCCTATATAATCCCGCTTTAAGGAGTTTAGACTATGGCTCACATGATACTAGAAACCCTGATTTGGTTTGAGATGCTTCTTAGCCCTGGTGTAAGCCGTGCCGGCAGATTTGAAACAGCGGAGGAGATAGAGACATTAGTGGAATTCATCTCAGAGCTGCAATGCTGAATACACCTGAACCCTAAACCCCAAACATTACCACCCTAAACCCTAAACCCTAAACCCTAAACCCTAAAGCCATGACCTTCAACAAAGGCTGGGCCCGGGGCCTCTGAACCTCCCTCTGGCTGCATTTCGACCTCGTCATTCGACTCCTGCACGGGTCGGGGGTCAGGAATGTCCTTATGGGAGTCTGAACCCTAAACGCTAAACCCTAAACCCCCCCAAAAAAATCTTCCTCAAGGTTTCAGTTGCGATCACAATTCATGATTTCCTTGGCCCAAAACCCTAAACCCCACCCTGCAGATGCAGGAACACAGTTCAAGTTTCGCAGCTTTGAGGTTTCAGATTCAGTGCTTGGGCTTCCAGTTTTCCGAAGTCTCCTTGAAAACTTTAGGCAATTCATTGATCAAGATTTCCACGATCAACCCGGGAGCATTCAACGGCAGATTGATCGAAAATTCTCGGGGTGATCATCCCTTCCCCGTCATGATCAAACACCGCCCGCCCTGCCATGATATACGGTCCCTGGTATTTGTCGGCAGCTACCTGTGAACCACCTGGTGCAGGGGCAAGCCATGGAGGCATATGGCGAAACACTACTGTAGTGTGCTCCGTTAAAAGCTAGTGACAGCTAGTGTCTGGATTGTGAAGGTTTTGGGCGTCACATCTTCAAAATGACCTCCAACCTCCTTGGCCCGATTGCAGATCGCTACTGGTATGCTCCAGGCTGACAGGTAACTTTCATCATCAGGTTCTGACCATGTGCCGGCAATGTTGTTACAGCTCATACGGCAGATTGACCAAACTGGACACCAAGTTGAAAATTGGTCTTGATCCCATTCCGACTGATGAGGTTTCCCAAGAGCACACGTCCCTTTGGGCTCCACATAGGGGACCTCAGAGGGTCGCAACTTACAAGGGACCCTCAAGAGTCGAGCAACTTCACGAAAGCAAAGAGAATCCTCCGGATTTGGAGGCGTCGCCATGGTATCCGACAGGCAGAGGAGAGGCTAAGCCACCTACTGTTGAAAGTGTATGGTCCGCTGGGCCTTATGCACCCGTGATGCATGCCTGAGAGTAGCCAATCCTTCCTGCAGTGGTGTCGCTTGTTGTGCATCTGCTTTGAGGAGGCTGCTGTAGTAGGGGTGGTGTTCACCAATCGAAGCTTCTCAGGAGCTGTTGTTCACTCGCTGACTACAACCTCTGTAACCAACTACCTTGATCTACACACCTGACAGCTGCCACGGGAGCAGACATGATTCGGTGCATGAACATGGGAACCAGCGTGGCCAGCAGGCTCTCTTGTCTTGCTTGAAAGGTTATTGAAGTTTGGCAAGCTTGCTGCGCCAAAAAGGAATAACAGCCGAAGAAATTCTTGTGAAGTTTCTCCAAGCCCAGGTAGGAGGTTAAAGTGGCGGAGGGATGGGGGCTGGAACACATTCCTCCGATTCTTGCTCAGTTTTGGGTAGGTGTCATCGGAATTCAATCTGCCGGCAATGCCAACGAGTGTGCACAATTCTGTCTAACCAGGTTCTTCACTAGGATCCCACAAGCATCAGAACCTGCAGTCCGCAGCCCCGGTGGTCATCACCAGTTTTCATCCCCATGCATGGCCCAAAATCAAACTCGCAAAGTCCAAGCAGAGGAACTTCGCCCCCACACACCTCAATTTCAAAAATCACCTTTGTAACATCAGAATCAAGCATGCCATCTCGTGCCTCGAAATCCACCACCTTCAGCCCCAAAGCCCAAATCCTCAAAGCTGCAACTCGAAATTGTCCACCCCAAACCCACGACGCCTGGACAGCCCTTGAGCATGCACTGCAAGACCATGCACGTGGATGTCTCGGTTTTATTCCGCAGGAAGCGCTTGCATCTGTCACCTGTACTGCTCAGCTGGGCGGGTTTCCAAACTGCGGCCTTTCACCAAAGCTCTGGGCGCCCGGAGTAGACGAGGATTAGGGGCTCGGGCCCATGCCATGAAGCGACCATGGTTTAGAGAACGCCCGCCTGCAGTCGAAAATTGCAAGAGCCAAGGCTGACGCAATGGCTTCTCAAAAGCAGGACACTGATACTGTGGCCACTTCTCACTGCTGACAACCCTTTCACTTGTGATTGCACGTTGTTTTACGCACATGAGCTACATTTTGGTTTTTCATCCCAAAGTTTGTGCTCATCATGCAGCCGATTAGCCGCGTCGTCGCCTATCCCACGGCTAACCCCCCAAGAACCATCACGACAGCCTGCACTGACCGCAATTCAATGTCTTATGTTGCCTAGTTACATTAGGGGCTTAAATCTTGTAGCAAAGCTGTCAAACCAAACCCTGCCTTTGTACATCCACGTGACCATGGGGTCCTCATGATAGTCACCAAGAGCTCTTTTGGTAGTTCCCTTGGACCCTAATATACACCCCAAAGTACTACAACCCTTTTGAGAGGAACCCCCAGAATGGTACCCCCAATTTTAGGAAACCCAAAACCCTATTTCCAGCCCTAAACCTTACAAATCTATGTCAAGTTTCTTTTCCATTATCCTAATGTATCCCCAGTATTATCCCTGATTTGGGGAAACCTCCATTTGAGCTATAGTCTAAA